GCAATAGATATTTTTTTGGACCAATAACCCCTTAGTTTAAATGGCCAGAGGTATGAATCAACTAAACGAGATGCACATGGTAGTTTGTTATTATTAAAGGCAGAAAATGAACCTGAACCTAAACCCGTTTGTAAAATCCCAAACACAAACCCAAATTGACCAAAATTTCAAAGACCTGGAATAAAAATTCACTTAAATTCAAAAAAACTAAACTTGAAAGAAACTAAAGATTAATCAGTCAGAACCCCAAATGGCCAAAATCCAAGAATAATCCAAGTAAAACCCATAATGACCCAAACTCGGCAATAAAAACGCTGTACCTAATTATTCATTTTACTCTAACCAAAACTTGAACCCTTCTAAACTAGATCCAAAAGCATCTGAAATGAAAGGAATCGATCTGACCTCATCTATGTTCTACCCAGGGAGCTTTTAGAAAGCTATGGATTATGTTTACTATGGTGTTCTTTGAAACAAATTTTCTATGGAGAATGGTTCTAGTTTCGAATTTGGATAACTTACACTTTGAACTTGGAAATTTGGTGGTAATGGAAGAAGTTTCCCGGAGGCTGCTGATTGGAGAGCCAAAATACATGTCTTAGGTTTTGTTAATAAAGAGACTATACATTATTTATTTTTCATGTACTTTTCTCATTCTTGAGGTGGTTTGCATGTCAAGATTTAGTAGATGGACTGTACCTTTTATCTTGATGTGATTGTTAACTTGGGTCGAATTGTGTTTCTCATAAGCTGCTACCTCTTCCTCAGCCCCTCAGGTACTGGAAACTCTCTTTTGGTGCATCCTGACAAATGTCCTCATCCTCAGGCGCACCAAGCATTTATTATACTCAACAAAGCTTTTAAGGACTTACAAGATCCGGATAAGGTGAGGGTTTGATTATCATTTTTAGGTACAGCCATGGTTGACACCATGGGTGTCATTGTTTTGGGTCTTATGCTTCTTCATTGCCTGCGGCAACCCATTGTGTGATCCAATGCTGTAAATAAGCATGTGTTATCCCCTCTATTAAATTGTCAGTATAACTGAATTTTAGTATTGAGATTTTCACTGGAGAGGGGTCCTCAGGTTTTGCTTATGTCTTTCTTATCTTACATTGAATGTCTGAAGAGGATTTTTTGTTTGTCCTCTTTTGAGGCACTTTGGTTTTTGTGGCATCCTAGAAGTTATAGATGCTTTTAGTTTGCACCCTTACCTCTTCTTTGCCTGAAGAATCTAATCAATTACAATAACCAAACATGAGAAGATGGAGTAGTTATTTCTCTTTCAGCACTAAAAATGTCAAATTTCATTAATAATTGAATCTGTTTCATTAGTCTCTTCTTGAATATTGGCATCTCTATTATATTTTGTACAGTAACATGGAATGCCTCTTCTTTTTTTCTTTTTGCAAACCTTGTCCTTCAAGGTTTTATTTTCATTGCTCTTATGAATCATCCTTCTCTTTCTGGTACTGAATTAATGTTATTATAATTCTTATCAAGCTTTAGGATCCTGTGTTATCCAAGAATTGCGCGGGTAAAAATGGGAAGGGAAGGGAACTGGGAAGAGTGTCATATTTGGTCAAATGTACTATCAAAATAGGTTGAACAATCGGGATGGGTGTTGAAGGGTAGACTTATTCTAGAGAGTGATTGTAAAACAGCAGTGGATTGGATTTTGAGGCCCTTTGAGGCCCCATCGTTTTGTTGTTCTTTGGTTGGGGAATTAGGGGATTTAATTTTGGCCAAGGACATTGTGGTTAGGCTGGTCCCTAGGGCTTGTAATTGGGAGGCTGATAAGTTAGCCAAGGAGGGGATTGGTTGAAACGTTCTTTTAGTGTTTTTATGGTTATGTTTAGTCTCTTATTTCGGGTGATGTTGTATTTAAAGTCTTATGTAATTTTGGGTTATTTATATATTGAGGTACTCTTTTCCTCCTTCCGCTAATTGCCTCTTCTTAAGAGGCAATTATGAGGGAGGTTTTTAACGAGACCTCCTATTCCTATCAAAAAAATAGGTTGAACAACCTATTGCAGAGACTGAAACTGCATGCTTGCATCTCTTCCATTCCTCTTCATGTATATGATATTGCTATGCTAATATTATTGCTAAAAAGTAGTAGCGTTGTAGGTTGTTAATTAGGCATATTTACCTTTTAGTCCTTGGTGATTTCACATGCCATCTTCATGAGGTAATTATTGATGCATTCTTTTGGGTGAATTATTTCTGCATTTGGAGTTTAGGGTGATTTTTATTTCTCTTCTTTCCTTGTGATTTAGCCCCAGTATCATGAATTCTAACAAAAAATTTCTCACATTTTATAGCGAAAAGCTCTGGATGACAAAATAAAACTGGAGGAGCAGCAGGAGGAATTCAAGGTATTTGTTATTTACAAGCTCTTACTACAGGCATTCATTTGATAAACTTACCAGTATCAACTTGTTATATTGAGCCTTTTCTGTTATATAGGCCGAGTTGCGAGCAATGCGTGAAGCTGCAAAATGGAGAAGATTGCAAGTTTAGATAGTTTTCTATTGTTACCTGCAACATTTATGTGCGTTCATGTGTGTCTCCCATTAATTACTTTCGCTGCAATGAGATGGATACTTTTTGAGTTTTTATACCTCCTAAATGAACTGGCTTTAACATGCTTTTGAAGTTACCATGTTTTTTTTGTATATGTCAGAACTTTCAAATATTATGAAATTTGCATTTTTTATATGTTAATTTGGATATTTTAGTCTGAAATTAGTTGGGATATATTCATTTGAGATATGACTCATTATCACTCTTTCTACAAATTGCAGCTCCAATGTTTGTTTTAGGTCATTGTGTAAGGTGTCTGACTATTAGGAAGCACAACGTAGACTATCAATACTGTTACCACATGGACACAGGGACATGGAAATATCTAGAGAGAGCAATAAAATATAATTTTAATTTTAATATGATTTACAATAAAAATGTAAAATCGATACTTTTAAACCAAATATCGGCATGCAAATTGCTTATAAATATATTGATTGCATTATTTGGGTTCAAATACTTTTAGTGATGGGTTTATTTGATTTTGCTCTTGATAGTTGATTTCAGATTTGAAAAGTACATAAATAAATGCAAAAACAAACCTTAGTTCCATGTTCAAATGTGTATTGTCATATTTGGCTGTCCCTTTTTTCCTTTACTTTTTTTCTGGTGTATTACACATATTATGATATCTTGAAGCCATGTTTGTGTCCGACATGGGTATGTGCCCCTTCTAGGAGTTTTGGTGCTTTCATAGCTAACTGTACATTTGCCAATAGTTTAGCATTCTTTTACATCTTGTGTCAAGTCAACAGTTCACAATGTCCTAAAGAATGTTGATCTAGAACCAAGCGAGCTTTTCATTGTTACAGGTATTTCAATGGAAGGCGATGATGAGCTCCTGGCAGAAGTGGAAGTTAAAGCACCTCCAAAAAGGGACGAATGGATGACAACACTTCCTCCTGAGAGGAAAGTAAGACATTTTAGTCTTTAATTCTCTACTTTTGTATCAATAGTTGCACAAACATCATAATCAAGTTCATTGCCCGTCAGTACAGATCCTTCAATCCTGCAGCATGTTCCATTTTGTTTTGGGACTAATAGAACTTTTATCTTCTTATTGTGGATTATCCCCCTTGAAAAGGCTGAAAATATTAACTGCAGTGTCACTTGAGATTTTCATGAAATGGCCAAGGGAATTACATTTCCAGAGTTCAAACTGAAATTACTCAAATTATAATCCCAACCTGTTTATTCTTGTCAGCCTGGTATGACAATGCAATCGACCAAATTTAGCAAGAGCACGAAAGAAGGGCGGGGTGATACTAGTGTGTGGACCGATACTCCTTCAGACAGAGCCCAAAAAGCAAAGATGCAGTGAGAATTTCGCTTTCAATATTTTGCTAATCATCGCATGGTAATATTTATGTGTTTGTTCAGTTATTTATTATGATTTGCATGCTTAATTGCAGTTACTTGGAAGCCTATAATGAGGCTGCTGCTCTTGCTTCGAATGAAGAAGTTAAGACGAATAGAAATGCCTCAGATGCAGATTTGGTGGACAAATATAATAAAGAAAAATGATCGAAATCATTGGTACAAAAGCATCAAGAAGAGGCTACAAAGCGACTGAAGAAGAAATCAAAGCAACCGTTAGAGAAGCAAGCATTAGAGAAAGACGAGTGGGAGGGGAAACATCCATGGAAACCATGGGATCGGGAGAAGGACCTGGTTGCCGGAAGGCAGAATGTAAATCTTGATGCGGAAAACATGGTTAAAGGTTTGTCTTCCAGGTTTTCAACAGGAACCTTTCAGAGGAACTTCCTTTAAAGCCAATGGAAACGAGTCCCCATGTTTTCCCTACACAGATGGGTAAAATTCTACCATATCCATTGCGGTCGTCATATCTGCCGCTATATTGGTAGTTAGTGATGTCTCAGTTTGTAGTTTAAAGATAAGCAAGTTGTTTTTATGATCATAAAAGTTGAGTTTTGGAAATAATATACCTTCGATAAAATGATGATAATAAAAATACTATCGTTCATGTTTGAGGCCATTTTGCGATATTTTTGTTAGATAGAAAAGGGTTAATTTATACTAGACAATGGTGTGTGTGTGTGTCTCTCTCTCTCTCTCTATTTATATGCATGTCGTATCTATAGAGAGAGAGAGATAGACACCCCCCAATTGTCTAGTATAAATTAATCCTTTTCTATCTAACAAAAATGACGTGTATATATGTTATTTTAAATAAATATGTGATCATACTTCATCGGATAAACAGATTAGTCCGTCTGTAACTATTTATTTTGTTATCCCAGAAATAATCGAACACAAAACAAACCATACCAATAGCTTTTGAGCCTAAGCATGACATCAACATAAAAACTGATCATAAGTAGTACTATATAAGTAAATAAGTCTACAGGTAATAAAGATTGATACAATAGTGTGTAGCACAAACCATAGCAGAGTATAGGGAACAGGTCAAAGTGCTTTATAGATCAGAAGGTGATCATTGTTCGACAGATTTTTATTTTTAGTATGGTAACAGAGTTTCTTGAGCCCTAGTGCAGGTTCCCTGGTCCAGAATGCAGCTGGAGTGTCCTGCTCGGGATCACTTGAAGAACACCAGGTTGTTCTACCACATACAATTACAAAAATCATATTACTGAGCATCGTACCAGATGTTCTAATACTGCATGTAACAAGAAATTTTATGTTCACAGAAAGACAAAAAGGTATATACCAGCCTTTCTATGATTCCTTCTCACAACAAAACCAACCTGCCAAGTAAAACCTACACCCCAAATCGTATAATCATTCATACCTAACTTTTCTTTCCAAACTTGTTTTTACACTTCTATTCCAAGTGTCAAGAAACCTATTTAAACCTTATTTCCCCCCCCCCCCCCACATAAAAGAAAAGAAAGGAACGTATAATCCTTAACGGGAGATGAATCCTAAAAACAGTAAGAAAAGCTCAAGTGCTATAGAGTTTAACTAACGAGAAAACAACGTCAATTTGTTAATTATAGAAAAACCTGCATCAACGCACTAAATAGGTTCCTTCCCTCCTTTTATCTTTAAAAGAAAACTAAATAGCATTTTTTATCATGCACCGACTTTGGCGTGCGGATGCTCCATCCAAAACCTCCTCATAGTAACACCAGCAAATATTAACTCTACAAGTTCCAAGTCTCAAATTCTAAAAAAATGAGATGTTTTTTCAGGAGATTACTCTTCCTCAATGATGAATTGCATGAGAAATTCATTTTACTGATTGAATAATTTATTTTACCATTGAGTAATTTCCACACTAGTATTTTCATTTTACTCTTGAAGCATTTTCCTTTCTGCTATTTGTTTTAATTTATTTCCTACTTCAAAATCGCATGCTAATACTGATAATTCAGGAACTTAATTTTTTAAGTTCGCATCTAATCCTAATTCTTAATAAAGAAACCAAAAGAAAAACAGAAAAGTATTAAGAGAAGGCACATACTTGATATCTCGGCAACCTGTTCGGGAGTAAGCTTGGCGGAGAAGCCGCTGGCAGCCGTCTTGTAACTGTAGATCAGGGCATCCTTAGCAGCTTCTTCGCTGCCGAGGACGGATGCGAGGGTTCGGAGATGGTAGGCTTCAGGCTGCTCATCCTGAGGCTTCTCGGTGTATATGATGTGGACAGCCGCCCCCGCCCCCACCTCCGGCTTCGGCTTCGGCTTCGGGGACGACGACGATAACGATGATTTCGTAACATCTGCAGATTCAGCCATTTCGATCAAACAACACAAAGCAATTATCAAAAACAATAAAACCAGAGATATTTTTCTGTTCATATCGAATATATTTGTTTGGCTCTGCTTTTTTCCTTTTAAATTCGAAGGTCCGCAATTTTGACTTTTTTCTTTTACTTATCCCCTAAGTTAATTATATATACATATATATGAAAAATTATTTATTTACTGAAATTCAAAAATTGATTACACGTAAAATAATTAAAACGTTTTAAGACGTTCAGAAATTAATATCTTACCGAAAAATATATCGTCTTGTAAAATAACTGAAGCACAAAGAAAGATATTAATAAATACTAATTATAATAAATAATAATACATACAAATAAACAAATAGTGCTGAAAATAAATTAAATAAATTTTCATTAGAAAACAGAAATTAAACGACTAGATACTGTTTAATTCATGTACAATATTAAATTAAAAGAAACAAAACATACGAGGGTTGGATTTAATTAATAAGAAATTAAAAGAATGGAAAGATTGTGAGTGAAATTTACCCAAGATCTGTAGAGATGGGCATTAGAATTGAGCTACTCTAGTTAAAATGATATTATTTTGAAGTGTCAAGAGTCTTTTTTTTAATAATATATTTTTTCTATGTTTCAATCATCGTTGTTTGTATGGTTAATTAAATTTATATTAATGTCCTGAGTCTGAATTCGGGAATCATTTCTCTTAGAAGTATTTCGATTTTAGTGAATTTAAGTTAAAATTATTTAATTAATTTTTGTTGATCTCATTTTTTTATCGTTAAATAGTTACGATTTTTGTTGTCTTATTTTCGTGAATGTAAGTTAAAACTATTTGATTTTAATTTTAGAAAAATAAAATTAAAATAATGATGAGTATTTTATATATTTATTTATTAAATTTTAAAAATAACAACTTAGACTCAAATGATTATTATGAGAAAAAAGAATCACCAATAATATTCTAAAGAATAGTCCTTATCACCATCGCTACCCCAATTTAGTTTTCCTTCAATGCTAACTCCTTTTCTTTCCTTATATTTTCCATCAATGCCTTGCCCACTGTCATGGGGTCGATTTTTATTTAATTAATGTTGATAAATAATATAATATTTCTTTAATATATTTTAAAAATATTCCAAATTATATACATGTCTCTATAAATATATATATATAACTGTAGATATGAAATTAAAAAGAAAAAAAAATAAAAATCAAAGAACCGCGTATACACAAACTGGTCTCCTCTGTCCCTCCTTTTTTTTTTCTCTATAGCTATGGCTTCTTCATCCACTAAAAAAATTGACTCCATACTTTCGGCGACCAAATACCCTTCTTCCCGGCGAACGCCTTCGTTCTCTTCGTCATCATCTTCGTCGTCGTCGTCAGCAACATTATCATCTCCGTATTTTCAAGATGATTCGCCTCTTAATCCGGTGGCTCCGGTCCGGTTTTCAGCCGTACCATTTTCTTGGGAACGTTTACCAGGAATACCTAAGAAGCTACAAAACCACAAGAAGAAAGAATCAATCAAGTTGCTGCCACTGCCACCGCCAGCTACTCCACCAACCTCAAGGAAGAGCATTTTGGGAAAGTTGCTCTCTCGGAAGAAAACTTCCACTGCCTCCTCCGTCTCCGCCGCTGCTGCTGAGAGTTTCCGGAAGGACCCATTTTTCACGGCGTTGGTTGAATGTTCCAAGGATGACGACGACGACGAAAACAAATTGTGGAGAGCAGCAGGAGCTAAGGTTACAAGGAGTATCAGTGATAGGTTCGGATTCAGTAAGATCTGTTTCAAAAAAAGTTATGCAGTTTCGGAATCAATGGTCTATCTTCCAAGTGCTAGTAGCAGAACAGGTAATTATGGCCTACTTAATCGTGGCTCTCGTTAAATGCAACACCCATTTGTTCTCAGTTACTTGGATTACTGAATCATGTTTATTTTTGTTTTCTAAATCTTTGTATTTTCTATGCAATATGAGGGGAAGAATGATGAATGATGAATGATGGTGTCTTCAAAGACTGGAACTCGTCAGTAATGCTCCATGTGATGTTTAATGAGTATATGAGTGAAGATTACATTACTCCATCTGGGAGTTAAGCTAAGCGGTGTTTCTGTATATGTATCAGCTTCTTTATTAGTATTCATTTGTTCTCTGCTATTTGCAGTGCTGCATATTCTATACTCTTCTTGCTATTAATATAAGGGTAAACTTGTATTTACTTACGTAACCATTACTTCGGTTCTGTTCTAGTCATTAAACTATTTTTCTAAATATTAATAATATTATATTTTAGTTTCATTTTAATCACTCGCTATTAAAAAAATTAAAGATGATAGTAACATGTCATAATTAGATAATATCATGTTATCGTTAAAAAATAAAAAAAATATCACATCAATAACTTTATTATTGTTTTAATAGTGGGCGACTAAAATAAAATTAAAACATAACATAGTGATGATTTAAAAAAATAATTATATGTTCAAAATAAATTTAAAATGATAGTTAAAGGACAAAATACATAATTTACCCTTAATATAAATGCTATCTATTTTAAATTTGTAAAGAAGAAATATATATGAGACTCAGTTTAACATCATAATTAAATTATAGATGTGTTTGATCTTTTCCGTAAAAAAATGTTGTCAGTTTTTATGTTATATATAAAGATAGTATTTGTTTAATATATTTTTTAATCATTTATAACGTAAACAAACATTATATACTCTAAAATGAATAACATTTACCGTTTAACCATTGAAATTATTGGATGGATTCAAAATTATATGAGTTTAATTACTGAAAATGTGGACAAATAATAATTAAAAGGCACGATCCATGTCTAATATTAAATGCAATGTTTGTAAGCAAAACGTGAATGGTTACGTCTCTTACAAGATTCGACAACCGTGTATATGCATGAGATCAGACATGAATTTCTTGCGTTTGAAGTATTGTCCACACCCAGCATGCATATACTGTCACATATGGTGCAATAAATTTGGCAGCAACCGCAAATTTGATTAGCAACCCCACCGTGCTCAACTCGAATGCAACCCTCCTTTAAATGTGGGGTTTTGCTTTTCCGAAAATAAAAGTAATGAAAAGGGTGTCATGAGTCCAATGTCTAATTTATAGTCTTTTATTGATACAATTTAATTCTATGCTAAATTTATTGAGTGATATCAATTGTTAAGGAAGTGTTTTTATCTCTTAAAGTTATAGGTTCGAACAATTATATCAATTTAAAACACCTTTCATTTCCTCTATAAATTTATTATACATAAATATTATGTAGAGTATTAAACTTATCCAATGTATTCTAATTAGTAGTATAATTGTTATTGTAATTAAACTCATTAAGTGATCTAAGTAGTAAAAAAGAATATTTTTTCTCTAAAACTTTTGAGTTTGAATAGTTGCGTGACATGTATATTATTAATTGATTAAAAAGATTTTAAACAAATACTATAACACCCTACACTATTTAAAAAGAACAAAGCTTGAAATTTGGTTTGGTTTGGGTCACATGTTAAAAGAAGCATGGCGGTTGGCATATGTAACAGTCATCCGGGTGTTGTGCAAATTTTGTTCTCAAATGTTAATTTATGTTACACACCTATATCTCATGACTCATATTTCACTGAACCTTATATATATTGACTTCAGTTTCTTCTTTTTGGTTCTTTGCATTATATCCAAATAATTCTAAAAAGGGGGGGGGGGAAATGTCAAGTGGGAGATCATCATCAACGGTAGTAGGGAAGAAGAGCAAGAAGACAGCATCAAACTCAAAGTCAAATGCAGTATCATTGCGGGACAAGTTAAAAATGGTGGAAAACGAAGAAGATGCGTTGCTTAAACACATAGATGATCTCAACAACTGGGTATCTATTATTATTATTTAAACAAATTCACTCTCTCATTTGTTTCGATTCTTGCTGCTAATGGATCTGGTTTGAAACAAACACAGACGGATGCGATAGATGGTATGAACGATGAGCAGTTAAAGGCATACCTTGAAAACAGACCTCAAGAACTGAAGAGTGTGAATAACCAGAAGAAGAAGCCTGAACAAAAGCGAAAGCCCAAGGTAAGGGAACAAACCTTCACATTTTCCTTAAAATATAATGATAAAGCTAGTGCTGATACAGGTCCAGAAGATTATGAAGTCCAAACCTTCAACATGCAGTGGAATAATGGCCTCAGTATGGAAGTTCCACAAGGAAGACGATGATAAAGTTAACAAAGGCATCAACCATACAATTCCAGCTGCTGATTAGTAAAACTCTGTTTGTATGATGCTGGTATCTTAACTTTAATAACTATAGTTTAACCATTAATTTTCATTTACTATCTGTGTATCTCTTTCTTTATTGCCATCAAAGATGAAATAATTTCAGCAAAGAACATAGATCTACTGGTTAAATTGATCCCAGACTAATAATCAAGGATTGGATGTCTAATTATCTTAACAATCAAAGGAAAACCAAAACATCCATACAAAGATATTCTACTGGTTGAATGTTGTAACAATCAAGATCTTCTAGTTCTGTTGACTAATATTTTTGCTGAGCAAGAGCACGGGCACGTCAAAGATTACAGAGGAAAAAGAAGAATAAATCAAAAGGAGTTAATTGATGTTGGGCTAGAAGAGAAGCTAAAGAAATATATTTCTTAGATCTCTCCTGCGTCTATTTATATGGTAAGGCCATTCCAATGGAGGAACTCTGGGCTTGTCACATTATACAAGATAATTGTTTGGTAACATTTTAGTTATGTCAGTCATATATGATTCAATTCTTTTGATTTGGATGGAGAACCACAATCGATAATCGATAGTGAAGTTACAGACAAACTCAAGAAGTCTACTTTTTCAATCTTTACTGAGATATTTTATTCTGATCATTGGTGTCGGTGTGAGACCTAGCATTATAATTCCTAGTTATAGATATGCATAATAGAATACAATTGTCTAACACTAAATTTGGTCATAATAGATCTCAAAGGCCTGACAGTTAGGGTGTATATTTTCGGATATCATATATTATCTGATCCAAAAAATCGGATCATTAAAATTATGATGAATATTTGGTTCGAAAAAATCGGATATCTAATTTTTCGGATATTTGAAATTTTGGATCATGAAAATTATGATCAATATTCGAAATTATGACAATAAAATAATTATTTAACATTTAAATACCGTAAAATTGTCTCATATATACAATTAAATAGCAGAAAGCAATGTAGAAAGAGAAATCGAAGGCAAAAACCGTGAAGTGCAATAAAAAAAAACAGTAAATGTAAGTTTACATGAGAAATCAGAGTCAAACGACCAATATAAACGGTGTAGGTAGAAAAACCATACGCAAAAGACAGGCAAACAACATTAGCAAGTAATGAAAATTTTGAAGGATGGAAATAAGGTTTTTTAGGATTTTGGCTCGTCATAGATAGAGAGTTAAGGCTTGAGAAGGAGGATCGGTCTCTAGCAGGGTTTCAAATAGCGGTCTAATAGTGGTATTGTGACTGTTATATCGCGGTCGCGGCGATATCCGAAATTGATATCTTAGAAAATAACGATGTAAAACGGGATCACACTAATAACGGCGGATCGCGACCAAACACGGTAATAGTGAACCGCTATTCCGCTATTATTCCTTTATTTTAATTTTTTTTTATAAAAAAATAGTTTTTTTATTAAAAAATCAGCTCAATCGAAAAAATTCACGATCGCGATATCCGCAATGACCGCGATAGCATCCGTTATATCCACAACCGTGATAAATAAAACTCTGGTCTCTAGAGTCCGGAAGAGTGAGGCGTTAACATTGAGCAGCCCATTAGCAATGGAAACTTATGGTGAAATTTGAGAGACGGATTTCCTTCTTCCTCTTCCCTGTCGCGAGGCTGGTGTAGTGGTGTGGATCGTGGAACTGGAGGACGCTGAAAATTTTAGGAATTCAAATTAAGGGTTAACTGGTTAAGACATTTTAGATAGGTTTGGGCGGGTCGGCTGGCATTAGTGGATTAATTATTTATTGAGCAGCAGACTATCTATATTTTAAAATTCTAAATTTTATCTCGAATAATTTGAAACGAGGATTGATTTGTACATGATCTTATTATCCGATCTTTTATCCAGATATATAATCCAAATTATCTAAAAATAGATTGAATGTCTAAATTTTCGGATCAAATCAATAGATTGGATCAGTCGGAATGATTATTTTGTACACTCTTACTGTCGATAGTTATGTCAAATGACTATGATCGTTTAAGGAGTATGAAACTCTGGAGAGTTTTTTTTTTTTTTATAGGAAAAACACTGCATTAACTATTCAAAGCATCCAAAACCAAAACCACAGAATTTGAAATACAAGAAGGGACTTCTGAAACAAACCAAAAGCCCATTGAGCTAATGAATGAGCAACAACATTAGCAGATCGCCTAGCAAGGATAACCTTAAAGTCGGGTTATCCTTTAGCAAAAAATGTGCTTCAACCAGATGGGTAGCAACAGTAGATAAGTCCAAATCAAGGTTGGCAAGTCTGTTGACAATGGTGAGAGCATCGCCTTCAATCAGGACATTTTCCCACCCGTTTTCTGCAGCAAGAGAGATTCCCTCAAGAAAAGCACGTGCCTCAGTCAGCTCAGTAGAGAGGAAACCTTAAAATCTACGAGCGTGGCCACCAATGACTAACCTGTGGTGGTCTCTAGGCACCACTTCAATAGCAGCTTATTTCGTGTTAGCACGTCAGGCACCATCAACATTGACTTTCACGTAGCCTTGCATGGGTCTCGACCAAACCTCTTTATTGGTCCCAGGAGAGGAGGATTTCACCCTACGAGCAGAATTGGTAGCTGCAGAGAGTAGAAGAAAGGTGTTATCATGCACAGACCAATTTGGGATCAATGATCTTGTCACCCCAATCGGTCAAGGAGAGAACTTCCTTTGCATGTTGACAGTCTCTAAGGGCATGCAAGGAAGTTTCAACATAAACGTTGCAAATATAGAAAAACTTCACGACCACCAAAAGATAGAAGGTTTTGGGTCCACCCTCTAACTCAGACTTCAAAGGAGAGTTTGATAGATAGAATTGTTGCTTATAGAAGAGTATCTTCAGAAACATGACAATCATTTGCTCACCAAATATTAATTATTTAAATAATTTTTATATTTTAAATCACTATTTAATACGATATTAATAATAATTATTATTATTATTTTTCTTTTCTTCATAGGCAGTCTTGATATATCATTCGTTCTTCGTAGTTTATTTAAATATTAATTACAAATATATATCATCAACAAAAATCTTTTACGAAAAAAATATCTTTAATGTATAAAATAATTTAAGAATTATTGTTATTTTTAGAGGTTTTAAATTTGAGCATATCGTTTACAATATTGCTGGAGTATTTATTGTCAAATGATAAAGAATATTTCAAATATATATTATCTCGTAATCATTTTAGATTAAAAAAATATTTTACTTAAACTTTTACATACCATCTAAGCCTTTAGATTTTTTTTTGAGTGTATTGATTCTTTGAAAGCTCTGTTTCTAATTCTAACCAAATTAAGTTTTCTTTTATAGACTATTATTGCACCTTTAAATGAGTATTTTTTTTTTTTTTTGTATTTAAGTCAAACTATGCTTCAAACGTGTAAGTATAAGGTTGATTGTTTAAGTGTAAATAAAAGATTAAACTTTAATTCGGTATAAATTAATGGTCAATGCTTAATAAAAATACTTCTAGAAAGGTCAATTATTCATTTAAGTGTGTAAAAAAAACAAGTGAATTTTAATGATTTCCAAAAAAATATTTTAATAGATTCAATTTTTTTTAAAATGTATAACATTAAAAAAATTATTAACGTTTGACTAAATAATCACTTTGACCCTTATTCTTTTTTTAGTGTTTTAACCCATAATGTTTCAATTTGGGGCAAAAAAACCCTATATGAATAAAAATCGTTAGTTAATAAGGACTAATGCTAAAAAAATAGAGGTTTTTGTATCCTAAAATGAAATTTTGGGGCTACAATGCTCCAAAAAAGAATAAGGATTAAAATGTCTATTTGGTCAAACACTAGGGACTTTTTTGTCTTAAAATGAAACGTTGGGACCAAAATACTTTAAAAAAAGAATAGGGAATAAAATGACTATTTTAATAAATATTGGGGACTAATTTGAAATTATGCCTTTTTAAAAAGTAATACAAACTTATGAGTCAAACTTGGGTGGTTGTCGTGCTTAGACACATACGAGTCACGCGGAAAGCATTGTTTGGGAATTCAACTGTGTAACCTTCAATTCAAACTTGTACCTAAAAAAAAGGGTATGTTATTATAAATACATGAATGTATGATATAAATACGATAATTTTAAACATAATGTAAAATTACTGTAAAATATATATTTTGTTTCATTTTTTTAAAATAATTTTAATGGTTATAAGATAATATTTGTCCATGATTTTTAGTAGTCATTGGCAATACCAATACAGACGTAACAACTTAAACCTAGATCTTTCAAACTAGGAAGAAAAATATTTTATTTTACTACTGAGATCATCTAATATATATTTTATTTCATATTTAAATTAACATATTTAATAATTCATTTTTAGCAGTCTAACATGCTAACACACCAAAAAAACCATATATATAAAATAATATAGACAGCTTTCTTTTTATATGTATAAATGGTGGAGTCACATGAGTTTTTTTTGAAGTCTCAAAACTTATATAATTTTTTTATAAAAAAATTGAGATCACTTTAAACAGTTGTTAACATCTTGTTTTTTAAAGAAAATTATTTTCTAAATTTTATATAAAAATATTTTTTTTAAATAATATTTTTTTTATAAAAAATACCAGTGTCTTTTTAAAAAAAAAATTGATATCACAATTAAATTTTTCTTACTACTTGAATGTGTATAAATATCCATATATATATATTTTCCATATGTATTTGTCGCAACCGTCTTTCGGTTGGGTCCCGGAATTGGGCTTCGACTTGAAAAATGTAGATTAGAGTCACCACCGATCATTTATTTAAAACAAATGGGTTGATCGGATACCCTATTTCTTACATGATCTGCGTCTTTCCAAAGATGTGTCGGGTTCGGGAGTCGGTTACGGTCAAGGAAGGATTAGCACCCTTAAACCATCATTTCGGTACTACGTAATTTCCAGTTGTCTTTGATTAAGAAAATTACAAGTTAAATTAAAAGGTAAAATTTGATCCGAATTACTTACTCTTAATGAGTTTACGAAAATACCCTTAAAAATAAGATTTTAAAAGAAAATAATAATAATAAAAGAAAGTAACAAAACTAAAGAGTAAACCAAGGAAATAAATGAAATCAATAATAATAAACATAAAATAATTGGATGAAAAAAAAATGAAATAAAATAAAATAAAATAAATGAAGATAAAATATATATACAAAAAGAATAAAAAATGTAAAGTGTTTTTTTTAAAAGAAAAATAATAATAAGAACAAATAAATTAAAAATATAATGAAAATAAATAAATAGTATAAATAAAATAATTAAAAATATATATATATATATAAAAATGTATGTATAATAATAAAATACTAAATAGTAATAATAATAAATGAATGAAAAATAAATATACATATAATATTAACTAAAAAATAGTAATCATAGAATATAAAATAAAATAAAGTAGGAATATATATATATAACGTTAGGAAAATATAGTAAAAAATATATAGTAAATAAGTAAACATAGATAAAAATAATAATAATATAATATATATATATATATATAATAATAGAAAAATAATATAATATAACTCAAAGAAAAATGAAAAAAAAATAATAAATAATATAATTAAATATAACATATATACATATATAATATAAGGGTTAAATTAAAATAAAAATGAATTAGAAGTCAAAATTAAAAGCCAAATGAAGAAAAAAACAACAAAACACGCGGATCCACACGACCCGTTTATAAAAATCCGAATAGTTTTTCAAAAACACAAGCCTCGAGGACTAGATATACAAAAATAGATCTCGAAAACGCCTCCGTTCATCGGCCAAAAGCACTTCTCTCAGTTTTCTTTCGAAATCAAAACACAACAAGGGTAAGGAAAAATAACATGCGAAGGTATGAACTTTACCTTTCAAAATATAAATGCTTCGAAAAATGGCTACGAGTTGCTTGTAATTTTTTGCTTGGTATTTCGTATATCCTCCTCCGAATGTGTTACAATAGTGAGTTACAATGACTATTTATAATGCTTGTGGATCCTATCTTTATGAGTTTAAATAATAGTAGAACTCTATCCTATTTTTAAGAGTTTGAATCCTAACAAAATTCTATCATATTTTTAGGAGTTTGAATCCTAGTAGGACGAAAAGGTGTGTTGACAGTATTTAAGTGGTTTGGTGTTTGTTAGGTATGTTTTCCACTTAAGTACAAATATAAAGATTTTATATTATGATATAAATTTATAAAATTTCATAAGGGTAATTTTTATATTTTTAGAGGAGATAAAAATAGAGTATCAATAAAAAATATAAAAAATAATTAAATTATATAAAAATTTAAAATTTTTAGAAACGAGGACTACCTTGTTAACCTTGATCCATCTCTATATTTTTATTTTCTTTTCCATTAAATCATTAAGCGAAAAACAATAGGTGCTTTCTTTTGTTTAACAAGGATAATAGATTACAAGCTAAGCACTAGTACTTTATTTAACAAGGATTCAGAAACGATGGGTATTTTATTGATTTGTTGTACTGTCTTTTTATTTGTTTAAAATGGGATATTTTGGATGCAATTAATTATGGTTTTCGGATGTGGGTGACTTTGATTAGAATAAAGTGGCAACGGTGAAAATCATAGTTTATTGATCAAAATTAAGATTCAATTATGATCCAAATAATATTTTAGTTAGATATACAAAATTATGAACACAAGTAATAGAAATTGTGAGCATATATATATATAGAGAGAGTTATGATCTACTTACATAATGTAAAATTATTTAATTTTACACGGATTTAAGATTATTGGATAAATAAAAATAAATAACTCGAATTTAATATCCACATGTCTTTTTTACTAAATGTTTTAACGTGTTTTTTATGAAAAGTGATATATGCATGTTTGCACGTACATTGTAATTTGGTACGTTCTTTATTTTTAATAATTTTTTTGGGTAATTTGTTATGTAAGAAATGAGTATTCTTTTAAATATATCTTATTGTTAATCTAAAAATAAGAATTCTGATTTTATTGTCATTATTATTAATTTATTTAAATTACATATTTTATAAAAATAAAATCAAAAATTGTTTTCGATTAAAAAATAATATAAAATCTTTTATAATTTTCATATTATAAATCATTTGAAATGATCATCCAGTTCAGTTGGTAGAACACAAGGTTCTTAACCTTGAGGTCGTGGGATCGAATCTCATGGAGGACATTTTATAATTTGGAGGTCTCCTATAAAAACTGTTCTCAACCTAGTGTGGGGTCAAACTACTATTTTACCTCACTAAATTTATACATGTAAACGAGGACTTTCTGCATTAATTGAGGTAACAGATAAGATCTCCACTTCATTCGTTTGACATTTCAAATTAGGAGAATCCAATTCCCTATAAAATGGAAAATGTTGCTTACAAGTTAAATCATAATGGATATTGTGGGTCATGTATAAAATAAATACTTACCGAACTAAACAATGGATCTGTATCCATTTTTGTTATTTTAAGAATTTTTAATTGTTTTTTGAGAATTTCAAAATATATATTAATGCAGGGTAAACATTGGTTAGCATTTCTAGCAGTAAGTGTAATTAGTTAGTTTTTTTGAAATTGGGTTAGATCCAATGAGATCCGGATCCGAGTTTTGTGATAAACCAATAACGTTTAATTCGAGTTTTGATGGACTTATTTTAAGTTTGGATTAAAATTAAAACTCTAATTTATGATGATTCAAACAAAATTTAATACGTATAATTTAAATTTTGTATAATGGAATCATATTATCTTTATATTATCTGAACTATTATTAAAAATTTAAATAAAAACATAAAATTGATCAAATAAAATATAAATATAAATATACCCATGACCCATCACTCTCGCGTTTTTTATTTCGCGTGATTCATATCTGACACTGTTTGCAATGACGAATGATTTTTAAACTAATAATATATAAATGAGTGATTGGAATATACTCTTTTATATATTTTAGCATGTCTTTTTTTAAAATTAAAATATAAATATATTTGTAAATGTTATAGGTACGTATGCCAAATTCAAAGTGTTTTGTTTCTTCCTACGTCTCACCTTATAAAAACCTTTAATCTCCATTTTTAATTGATTTTTCTCTTTATTTATCTAGGAAGATAATGTATACGTCTTTGACTCAAATATTTCAACAGTTAGTTTTAATTGATTTAATGATTTTGATAAAATAAATCAATATTATTATATCTTTGTAGATGAACTTCGAAAACTACTAGTCATCCTCTAGTCAAATATCTTTGGATAGATCTTTTTATTTATCAAAACTTTTGAAAAGCTCAATTCTTTCTAGTTAACTATAATGTATCGACAAAACTTTTGACAAATTCACATTATCTATTAGGTGCAAAATATAAGAATCGGTCATTAAATCAATTTAATATGTTGATTTACTAGTAGTCTTAATGATCCTATGTATGAAACCATCCACTAGAGTCATTATAAAATACTCTTTAGTTATTATTGAGGAAATGAGACATGAGACCATCTACGTCATAAAGACTAGGTCTTTAAATGAGATGAATCAGATCGTGAGTTACTCGATATTGACTCGATAAATACTCGACTTGATCTCGAGCTCGACTTGAATTCTTAACGAGTCTAAATGAGTTACTTCATACTCGAATCGAAAAGCTTGAGAGCTACTCGAAAAAAATATTAATCTGTAAAAAATTATTAATAATATTAATTTTTATTTTTTTGAGTTTTTTTAAATACAATATAAATGTATTTAAGATTCATGTTCGAGTTCGAGCTTTAATCGGGTTAAGTTTAAGATTTTTTTTCAAGCTTTTTCGAGATTCGATTCATGGTTTCAAGTTCAAGTCGAGCTTGAAAATTTTAGTCTCGCGAGTTTTCGAGTTGAGTCGAATTCCATTTCAGAGTTTTCAAGTCGAACTCCATTTCAGAGTTTTCGAGTCAAATCGAGCTCAACTCGACTCGTTTACAACCCTAATAAAGATCATCATCTTTCTCTATACCCAATTTTTTCTCATAAAAGACACTGGCTAGTTGCTACTCTCTTACTAATTACAATTTTCAATCTAAATTAGAAAAGGGTGAATTGTGAATGGTCTAGCTTATTTCTATTATAATGTATACATTTTGATATGTAATCTTTTTTATTAATCTGGATGAATACAATATAATATTTTTTTGAAAGACTTTTAATCATTTGATAATGAAGGTTTATGTATATTGGCAAACGTAATACTCAACCCGAGACTTCAGACTTTAAGAGATAATAAGAATCCTTTAACTATCAAGATCATTTGATTTATGTGTAATTTTTTTAATAGATTGATATGTAAATTTTAAATTAACTATATGCTATCAGATATTCTAAATATCTTTTATTATATTTGTATCATATATAATATTACTAGGGTTGGTATTGCATATGAAAAACAAGACACCGAGTCTGAAATGTACACATTTAAATCGTTTTTGTACTTTTAATAGTGGTTAATAATTATTACGTAATTGAGATATTTGCACTCGTTACTTCAGCCCCATCATCGTGGTGTTATGTTTAAACAAACTAAATCACTGAATAAGTTTAAATATTTAATTTAAATAAAATTATTTTTAATAGATATTTAAATTAAATAAATTTTAAATGAGACAATTGAATTACTTCTACTAAGAATATTAAAAATTAAATTAAATAAATCCGAGTAATTAAAATACAATATTGAGCCAGAGCTTAAAATTTAAAAAGCAAACGGATAAAATTTAAGACAACGTTTTTGTTAGAAAGTAATTGAAACCAAACCTTAAACATATTGAATTTCAATTCAATATAAACTCAGTTTGACTTTAGGGCTTAAATATACAAAAAGGTGTCTAACGTATGTCTGTTTTTTCAGTTTAGTGTCTAATATTTTTTTGTTTCAGTTTGGTGCCTAACGTCTCATTCTGTTACTCCGCAGCAACCGACGACCTCAACCTGCCCCTCAGATCACCCGAAATCGATCACCGTCGAGTTTAATCGCAAGGAAACCATTTGGTCGCCCACCTCCAACCTCGGCCACCGCTCGTCGGGAGTCATCACCGCCTTGCCCAATGGAAGCGCTGTCCCGAACCGGTCATAGCCTAGTCATCCAGTCGTTGCTGTTCGTGGTGGAGTGACATTTGAAAGTCGACGAAAGTCCCCCATCACCGTTCGATTTTTGCGATTTCCGGCCGAAACCTCCGTCTCACCGCCATCGAAGCTGAGCTCGTCGGTCATGTCCGACCAAAACCCAACCAGTTGGGTAAGCCACCGTCGTCGAGCGGACGAGCTTGGAAGAGGAGCGGCCGAACGTTAAAGGTTAATGGGTTGAAATGAAGGTTTTCAAAGTTTTAGGGTCATTTCAGATTTTTTATTTTTTTAAAATATACTTTTATTTTTTAATTTTAAATATATTTTTTAAATTATCAGTTTGTGACATGTGTCACTTAACGGAAAAACTAACGGTCCGTCACGGTGTGACCATTCTAAGTAACGAAATAAAACGTTAGACATTAAATTAGAACGAAAAAATATTAGTACTAAATTAAAAAAACTGGAATACATTAGTTATCTTTTGTAAATTTAAGCCTGACTTTAGTGTTGCATCAAATCGGAAAGAAAACCGGAGATGTCGAGGAAATAATTGGAAATATTCCCAATATTTTACATGTTCTACCAGCGTTTGCATTTTGAATGTATTAATGGAAATGGAATAAACTTTATTTATTTCAAACGATTTAAATTCCATAAATTTAGAGGATTTATCAAAACTAATTACCATTTTTTATTATAAGAATCTTAGACTACTTTTAGAATTATCTGATAATAAAATAATTTTTAGATTTAAAATTTAAAAATTATATTGTTGAGTGATGAGTTAGTTTATTTATTGTTTCCACTACGTTAAATGATATTATTATAAATAAATAGTAACATTAAGAAAATATCTTAATTACAGTAATATCTTGAGAATGATATTTTTATTAAAAAAAAGTAGGTCATTGATATGTCGTTCTATTATAATTCACCATTCAGACGGTAAGAAGTCCGTGTCCAAACTGCGTCGTCGGTAACAGCAAGTTGACATTTTTTTACGTGCTTTTACCGGCAATTTCCGGGAAACTTTACTCACCGTTATTACAAAAGGACGGGAGTGATTTTTTTTTTGTTCAAATCTTTTTCTTCTCAAATCTATTAGTATCAGATCCTCATTCACTATAGTCTTCCTTCTCTTCTTCTTCCGCCCATCTCTTTCTATCTCTCCTTACCTACTATTTTCCGGCGAAATCGCCGGTCATTTTCTCTCTAAGCTTAGCCGGAGGATTAAAGACATTTTTTGCTCTCTAGAGGTTTGCGCTTTAATTTTCTTAAAGCTTATTTTTTCGGTGGGGGTTATGTTTATTTATTTTTCTCCTTTGATTTTTTGGCTGAGTTTCAAATCTGTTATTTTTCCCTTCTAATTTGGTGGAATGATTTGCAGTGTTTTTTTTTCATGCTCTTTGTTGGTTTCTTCTTGGTATGCATCTTCATGCTTTTTCCATTGATATTTTAAAAATGAAAACAGCACTGTCCATTTTTCTAGTTTTAAAAAATATTTTGTGCATCATTCCAAATCCATATCTTATATAGTTATATATAATAATAATGGTTGGGGGTTGGTTGTTGGAAATTTCCTTTACCTTTCAACCATCCTGGTAATGTAATGATCGAGAGTTTTGATTTATTTACTCCTTGTTGATTTTTTTTTAATTTTATTAGCTTTAGAAATGCAGTCTTCAACCACGTTTCTTTGCTATTCTTAAGGGGTCTGTACTTTGTTGTTATCCAATCTAATATTTTTTTTAACATTAGATCTCTTGTTCTGGAACTTGCTAGTTTCGTTTTTGATCATTGAAGATAAAGAAAATGGATGGGGCTAAAGTGACGGGGCTTAGAAATGTGAGCTCTACTTGCTCGATCTCAGAGACAGAAGACTATGATCTCTCACGCCTCCTTGATAAGCCAAGGCTTAACATCGAGAGGCAAAGATCATTTGATGAGAGATCGCTGGGTGAGCTTTCTATTGGTCTCTCAAGAGGAGCTCATGACAGTTATGAGACCACGCACTCGCCCGGTTGGAGGTCTGGTTTCAATACTCCAGCCTCTTCGGCTAGAAACTCCTTTGAGCCACACCCGATGGTGGCTGAAGCATGGGATGCTCTCAGGAGATCGTTGGTGTATTTCAGAGGCCAACCAGTTGGTACCATTGCCGCATATGACCATGCTTCCGAGGAAGTTTTGAACTATGATCAGGTAAGATTCTCATCAGATACTCTGAACCGTTTGCTTTATTGATTCAAATTATTGTCGCATATGTACGAGATTGTAAACTAACTTTTATTATTGCTTATAGCGAGAGTTAGGCTTTCGATCTAATATAGAAACCTTGAACCTGAATAGTAAATACCTTGATCCTAGTTGGATAACTTTGATTAGGTGAAACTTCAAGTCAAACTTGAACCATAACTGAACTTTAACATGAATAGAGATTTCTGATTGATAAAAATAGGTATGGTGAGGAAGAATAGGAAGATTAAGCTTAATGATTGTTGAACGTTTTTCTAAAACAAGGAAGTTAAAAAATGTTTGTTGTTATTTTTAATACTGAAAACCCATTACCATTTAATCAGTTAAATTATTGAAATTCTCTAAGACTGTTTGTTCTTGGTTTGTTTAGGTTTTTGTTCGAGACTTTATACCCAGTGCTTTGGCTTTTCTGATGAATGGAGAGCCTGAGATAGTTAAAAACTTTCTCTTGAAGACTCTTCAGCTTCAAGGGTGGGAGAAAAGAATAGATAGATTCAAGCTAGGGGAAGGTGCAATGCCTGCTAGCTTCAAAGTTCTTCATGATCCTGTACGTAAATCGGACACAATTGTTGCAGATTTTGGTGAGAGTGCCATTGGAAGAGTTGCTCCAGTTGACTCTGGATTCTGGTGGATCATTCTGCTCCGTGCATATACAAAATCTACAGGGGATTTATCTCTAGCTGAGACACCTGAATGTCAAAAAGGAATGAGGCTCATACTAACTCTTTGTCTATCAGAAGGATTCGACACATTCCCAACCCTACTTTGTGCCGATGGATGCTCTATGATTGATCGACGCATGGTAAGCTATTTGTCTAGTCTTATTTTCTCTCTCTCTCTCTTTTCTGCATGAATATGTGCTTTGTCTGTTCATAAATGTAATGTCCCTTGGTGATCTTATAGTTAGTTTTATTTAATGTGAGACATGCAATGCATCTTAGAAATTAAAAGCAGCACAAATTATGAAAACTGAAATTTAGATATAATACACATTATTCATTGAAAAAAGTGTAACAGATTGTTTGTATTGGTATTGATGAGTAGTGGAGAGAAAGTGGAGCAGTATGACCAATAGAAATCCAGTTCCTTGGTTTTAATTTAGTAGCATGCTGCATCTGCAAACATGTTGACATGGTTTACTGCAAACTGCTGTAATTTATTTGTTTGTTTAGGCTAATCTACTCTTTGTTTTGTAATCAATCTCCTAATGTCTTTGTAAGATATTTAAGCAAATGATTTAAAAATGTGCTCCATTTTTATATATTATCACATTTATATTTGCATGGAAGTGAATGATTATGTTGTGAGTTTTTACTATACGATCAGTGCCAAATATATGATCCACCATCTAATGGGACTGTAGCTAGTTAATAACAGAGAAAATATGGTCCACGTCAACCTTTTCATATCCGTCTATTAAGGTGAACCAAATATATTCCTATCCTATCATTGCTAAGAGCTGGTAGGATCTAGTTAGTTTGTCTTTTCTATTAATGAATGTGATGCTAATGTTCCAAGTAAACTGTTAGCAATATCTCAAAAGCATGGTGCTATTCTTGTGTAGTAGAATTTTAAACGATAGTACATGGAAGACTTTGGCTGAGTATCAGAAAACAAGTTATGGATAGGATAACAATAATTTACCGTTCCTGTAGCATTCTGCTAGTCTTTACTTGATAGAGTAAACAAGACGATGGAGGCTTATGTGCTAAAACTGATGCATATTTCGATTCTCTTTATTTTATTATTCTAAAGATGAAGTATCTGTTTCGGAAATGAAAACCATTTAAGCAAATGGTTCTTTTGGTTATCAGATCCATGTTAATTGTAAGTGATTTATTAGTGAAGGTTCACCTTGTTTCTCACCATTGGAGGAAATATTTGTTACTGATGCATATGTATTTGTATTGTGTGATAAAAACATGTTCTTTTTGTTATTCTATTCTTCCAACCCAACCTTTGAGGTCTTGATTGTTTGACCTTATAATTTCCATAGTTGTATGAAGGGCAGCTCACAAGTATGACTTAATGCATCTATATATACAGGGATGGAGCCAAAATTAAATATTGGCAGGGGCCGGAATATTAAACTATTTAGAAAAATATAAAGACTTATTAGGTATTTAAACTCGAAATTCAGCATGAACCAAGCGACCTTAGTGGTTAAGGGATTGTTGTTATCCTGGAGGTCCCTAGTTCAAGCACGTATGTAGGGGTATGAGCGTTCATTGTCAAATAGTTTAAAGTCTTTGTACAATATTACATTGTATTCACCCTAAATTAAAAAAAAAACTCAAAACTCAAAAGACAACTTCTAATTTGTTTAATATTTAAACTTACAATGATTTAAATTGTAATTAGACCAAAAATTTGAGAACACAGACTTGTTATTCTTTAGTTCGACCCCTTGGGCTTAAGGAGCTCCTTCCCTATATATATATATATATATATAGAGAGAGAGAGAGAGAGAGACTCGTGACTCATACACACGTTTATGTATTTTTATTTTTTGTCCCCACTCCCTCTCCATCTCTTGAGACCAACGAGTCTTAGGGCATGTTCTAGTTATGGTGTGAACTTTTCTTCTTTGGCATTGACAGGGTATTTATGGTTATCCTATTGAGATTCAAGCACTTTTCTTTATGGCATTGAGGTGTGCTCTATCAATGCTGAAGCATGATGCTGAAGGCAAAGAATGCATTGAAAGAATTGTGAAGCGTTTGCATGCTTTGAGTTATCACATGCGGAGTTACTTTTGGCTTGACTTCCAACAACTAAATGATATTTATAGATATAAAACTGAGGAGTATTCTCACACCGCGGTAAATAAGTTTAATGTTATTCCCGATTCCATCCCGGAGTGGGTATTTGATTTTATGCCAACGCGTGGTGGCTACTTTATCGGCAATGTTAGTCCGGCAAGGATGGATTTCCGATGGTTTTGTTTGGGTAACTGTATAGCAATTCTATCTTCTCTTGCAACTCCGGAGCAATCAATGGCTATTATGGACCTTATTGAGGAGCGTTGGGATGAGCTTGTTGGAGAAATGCCTCTTAAAATAGCTTATCCTGCAATTGAAAGTCACGAATGGCGAATTGTAACTGGCTGTGATCCTAAGAACACAAGATGGAGTTATCACAATGGAGGATCTTGGCCAGGTAAGGCCTTTGCTTTCTACTCTATCTCCACTTTGGTGCTTTTGATCTTATAAGAGAGGAAATTAATATTTGTTCTGTCAGTCAGAACATAATGATTATTGATAAAATTTTGAAATAATAAACACATGGATATTGCTGTTTGTTGTATTTGTAAATTGCCCTTCTCCCTATTTTGCGTGCAGTGCTTTTGTGGTTGCTGACAGCTGCTTGCATAAAAACGGGAAGGCCGCAAATTGCTAGACGTGCTATTGACCTTGCCGAGTCACGCTTGTTGAAAGACGGCTGGCCAGAATACTATGACGGCAAACTCGGGAGATTTATCGGTAAACAGGCTAGGAAGTTTCAGACATGGTCAATAGCTGGATATTTAGTGGCAAAAATGATGCTGGAGGATCCATCGCACTTGGGGATGATTTCTTTGGAGGAGGACAGACAGATGAAGCCATTGATAAAGAGATCATCTTCTTGGACCTGCTAAAGCCGTCCAAACAAAAAGGAAATAACACAAACAGAATTGGCAAATGGCAAGAGACCGACTTCAAAAGATTCCGTTGTATCAGTACGAGTCTTGCTTCTTCTTTACGTTACGTTTTTTTAAGTCACGAAATGGTGACAAAAAAAATAGAAAGTTACTTTTGCAGCCATGGCTGATTGGCTCATGCATTGTTTTCCATTACAAGTATACACTAAAGGAATCAAGTTTCTGGAGGCAGATGCCGTGTATTGAATTACCTGAAATTTTTCATTAATTGATTTCAAGTATGCAATTTGACTATTTCTTAATGCTATTATTGATTGAAACTCCAGTGATAGCGCGGGTTCATTACAACTCTTCGTGTTCTTGCCATTAGGTAGTCCTAGAACATATATGTTTACATGTTCTTGACATGTTCTTGGCATGTATGGGCAAGTGTTGGGATGGACCTAAAGGGTCTTTCTGAAAATTTTAAATTATCATATAATTTAGATATTTTTTTATTTTCAACTGATAATATATTTTCATCCTTAAAATTTTATAAGTTTATTCCCTTACAATTTTAGTGATTTATCCTCCTAACACAAGATCCTTCGATATTGTGGATCAGTCAAAATATCCAACAATATGGTGGAGCTAGCAGAATACGAGATGGTGGTAGTCTGGTAGACAAAGACCAAGGCGTTTGTTGGACTTACGATAATCAAATTCAGTCAAAGCTCCACCTACCACTAACATTGGGATGGAGGGGACCACGCAGTTAGTAAAACGCCAAAACGTCGTGAGAATCCAAACCACTGCTTGCGACCTTATAGATCCTTCAGTGGCTACATTGGTTCCCGAGCACAAAATTTTAGTACAGTTTGACATTTAGAATAAAGTACAATTTTTAAATTTACGTCTAAATTTGATAAGAAAATAAGATATATATCAAATTCACATTTTGCTTGTAAAATATGCATATGTGTGTATGTTTAGGAAGATTCCCACTTCTGCTGAATATAATTCACTACGGTAGGCTAATGGTGGACCCTGGTTATATGCTCTCGAGTTGAACTTTCTTCGTATTAAAAAAATATAATATATATCACTAACAATCAGTTGATTTAACAGGATGAGACACTAAATTCTTCAAGTGATATCATATATTTAAAATATGGTGTTTGTGAATGAAACAAACTAATTTAGGAGAATTGTTCCCATAATGGGTCTATGCAAAACCTATTCCACATTAATTGATCAATAGTCGGAAATCGATGTTTAAAAAATATAATATATATTTTTTGAGTAACTAAATATAATATTATTTATTGAATCAAAATATTATTTTTATATAAATTTAAATTGCGCAATCCTTGGAAAATTTTATATTATCAAATTCTACTTATCCAACCTTTTTTTTGAAATTTTGTATACAATTTTAAATGTAATAATATAATTGTTTTTCATCAAAAAAATAATTTACTTGTTTAAAGGTTCAGAGGATTTGAGCAAATGGGTCGGCCAAGCCTCTAGCATGTCCAGATCTTCTTCTCTTCGGCCGAAACCCAAAAAGCCCTTCAAAGTTTTGCCGCCAAAGCCGAACTCTTTCTTCTTCTTTAGTATTTCTGATTTCTCAAAGGGTTTAAGCATAGACTCACTTCAGTTCCCATGGCCTCAAACATTCCTCTCCATATCATAGACGAAGACGGCGATGGAGACTTCCAAGATGTAATCCCTTTGTTACTCTCTTTCAGTCTTGGATTTGTACTGGTTATTCTTCTTTAATTCATCTTGGTGGGTATTGATTTGTGTTAATTTTTAACGTAGGAGTTCGATTGGGAAGCAGCCGTTAGAGAAATCGATAAGGCATGCGATGATAGAAATTTTGCTTCTTCTTCGTCTTCCCATTTCGCTCCTCCTCCTTTATCCCATACATCTAAGAAAAACACTTCAAGGCAATCCACGCTCGACAGATTTATTGGGAAGGTGGGACCTCGGCCTCCTGAATATAATCGGACAGTTGAGGGTTATGTCGATGCTGAGGCTGAGGAAGTGTCATCCGTTCGCATTGATGCCGAGGCAGCTAAAACTTGGATCTACCCAGGTTTTTATTTATTCTATTTTTTTGGTTGCAGTTTCTTTATAACTTTTGTTTCCTTTACCGCTTGCTATGTTATTATTTTTGTTATTTTTGGTGTTAGGTAACTGGGTCTTTTGGCAACCAAAATTTGATTCATTTGTGTGGTATTTGGCGAACCATTTGCTATATTATTATTGTTATTTTGTGTGTGTGTGTGTGTGTGTTGGGGAATTGGGTCAATATTAGCAGTTTTAGTAGCAATTCTTTAAAGCTACTCTATATAGCTATATATGTTAGCATGATATTGGTGCACTTGCAATTGCATAGGGGGATGTTCGGTGACTTGTCAAATCTTTTGCTCAAAAGAAATCCATATTCTTTGTACTGATTGCTGAAGCAATTTATTAGATTCTTTAAAGGCTGATCTAAGTCTAACTATTAGTGATTATTATAGCTGTACTGGTCCTAGTGGATTGTCTCTTGTTTGCTGGATTAAAGGTAGTGTTGAAATGTTGACATAATGATTATACAACGAGGATAAAGGATTAAGTTAACTAGCATGCCAAACTCCAAAACTTAGACTTCAGCAATCAATTCCCAAGCATCTGCATGCTATATTTTCCTTGCTTTGCTATTACTTTAGGTACAGTGCAGCCCTGCAAGTCATATCCAATTGTAAGTCACTTTTACAAAACATAAAGCATATTGGTTGTCCATTTTTTCCCATTTTACTATTTGGTCTAGTAGGTAGGTTGTGGTTACCAAAGTCAGTTTGTTGTTAGAAAATGGGTACAGATGGTAAATAATTCTTCTTTTCCCTTACTATTGCATTATTTTTTTAGTTTTTCTAGTTGTTATGCTCCCTGTGGTCCTTTAAGAGGTACCTCAAATTTTATTTGAAAGGACCAAGTTTGGTTTGTGAATTGAAATTGATGAAATTTACATGTTCATGAAGAATGGGTTTTCCGCTGTTCCGTTTGATGAACTATAAGGCTTTGACGGAAAATTACAGTATATTTCTTTTAATCGCTTATAAGTAAAACATTAAAATTTGATGTTTTATCTACTTTTCATTTTGAAGATATACTTTATTTTCTAAATGTCCTAATATTGAAGTGTCTTTTAAGACTTTGTTTTCAAGCATTCATTAAGAATTCTAAGTTCCCCTCTCTCCTTCGTGGCTAGTGCAGTTAATGTACCTCTTCGTGATTATCAATTTGCCATAACCAAGACAGCACTATTTTCAAATACACTGGTGGCATTGCCAACAGGCCTTGGAAAAACACTTATTGCCGCAGTTGCAATTTTTAACTACTTCAGATGGTTTCCAGAAGGTAAATATTTATGTCATGAGCATTAATATAGCTGTATTATTTAAATCTCTTCATAATTTATTTATGCTTTAGTGGATGAATAATTTTTGAGGCTGATGCCTATCTTTTATATAAATAGAGGGACAGGCTCCTTGTCTGTTGCAAAAAGTAGGAATTTGAGAAGCATTATGCTAATAATGATATGTGGTGTCTTTGCTTCTTCTGATACTGTTGTTATGCATAATATCCAGCCTAAGCAACATAATCTCTATTAAATTTATATAATTATTGTAATCTGTAACTTCCATAATCATTTGAATGACAAAGCTTTGCTGATTGAAAGAGAGATCTAGTCATCTTAAAACTTTGGCCAGTCATTATGCAGCTATGTTGATGTTAGATCTTTCATCTAGCTTCATTGGGAGGTCCTTTCGTATCTTCTCCATCGTCTTTGTTACCTGTTTTTATGTTGGTTGGAAAGGGAAAATAGTCCCCTGAACAAGCAGATAGGGTCTAACATATCATTCTCTTTCTTTTCCATCTTAGCTTGGTTCACCTTTCTTTAAGGACAACAATAGGAATTTTGACCTTCCCCTCCACAGTGAAACAACGAATCTGAGAGTTGCTGCCACTATAGCTTTAATTTTTTTTTATCTTTAGAATGTATAACTTTCTTTAAATTAGTTTTACAAAATGTAACTTGATATGTCCTTGAATTTAGATGCTTAAGTTTAGTTCCAAACAACCTATCAACTCTAAAACTATGATGGCTATTTCATCTTCTTCTACAGGGAAGATAGTCTTTGCTGCTCCTTCTCGACCACTTGTCATGCAGCAGATAGAAGCATGCCATAATATCGTTGGAATTTCACAAGTAACACGAAATTTCTTTTCTCCCTAATGAATGCAAGGAATTTATCATACTCTTATCTCTCTTTCTTTCTCTGGTGCAGTTTCACAATTATTTACATGTTTTTTAGAAGATTTAGATCAATTTGATTTGCAGGAATGGACAATTGATATGACAGGTCAGATATGCCCAACAAAAAGAGCAATCTTTTGGAAGACTAAAAGAGTTTTCTTTGTTACCCCACAAGTTTTAGAGAAAGACATTCAATCTGGTGAGTCTCTGAAGTAATTTCATTGTTATTGTTGGATATGAGTTCTTTTTAATTTAACCATTCTACTTAATGTCTTCGGATATCTTCCTTTGCTGGATTTTTCTCATCAAGTAACTTGTTGCAGGCGCATGTTTGTCAAAGTATATTGTTTGTTTGGTGATTGATGAGGCTCATCGAGCATTGGGAAATTATTCCTATTGTGTGGCAGTTCGTGAGGTTGTTTCTTCATTTCTCACTAGTTTTTTAAACTGTATTCCTACCCTTTTATTTTGAGCATACTGTTGGTGGCAACATTCATGGGGCAAGCTATTAAAGGTGTTGGCGATACTCTAAATTTGTAGTTAATGTCAATGCCAGTGCAGCTGAGAATATTAGCCTTGACTGCAACACCGGGATGTAAGTTACCGTTTTCTTATTGTGTTTTCATGTTTTTCATGTAACCTTAAATGCTCACACTAGTTGCCATCGATCAGCAAAGCAGCCCACTATCCAGCAAATAATTAACAACTTATGTATATCAACACTCGAGTATCGCGATGACCATGACCATGATGTCAGTCCATATGTTCACAATAGAAAGATAGAACTGATTGAGGTATCTGAAAGTTTCTCTTTTGAATTTTGTTGTTTGTTATTCCTAATGTAGGTAACATATTCCTTGCCATATTTCTAGGTTCCACTGGGGCAAGATGCGGTTGAGGTGAATAATAAGTTGTTAGAAGTAATTCGTCCTTATGTGGCAAGGCTTCATGCCAATGGGCTTATTCAAAATAGAGACTATCAGACTGTATGATTCCACATATGTTATATATCTTGGTTCTTTTTTTTTGACAAAATAAATGTTGGTTCTTTTTGAAAATTCACCATCACTGCATCTTAGCTTATTTAGCTTTTAAGTCTAAACCTTTTCATGTGTGTATGTGTTATTTGTTAGAACTTTAGAATCCTTCTGCGTGCTGCCAAATGGAAAAATTGATCTAACTGCATTGCCATGAAAATTTTAACTACCATAAAAAGTTCATTATTCGCTTTATGTGGCAACATTTCTAAAACAATTTGGGTGTTACTGCATCAAATGATCATTATTATTTTAGGAAAGATATTAATTTATTATTATTTTCGAATTGTATTAGGTTCCTAACTTGTTTACTGTTTTAGGATGCTTTTAAGATTAAGAGTCATTATTTTTATCTTTGGATAAACTTTATCTTCCAGTATGGTATTTTATTAGGAGTTAATTACTAAGTATTAAATAGGGGACATATGTATACTGTTACGACAGACTAGAAAATAAGAACTTCAGTTTTTATTTTTCTTTCTGTTTTTTCAGTTTCTCATCTGTTTTCTGTCAATGATTTCAGGAACCGGTTATTATTAGAAGTTTTTTATTATTAGGATCCTATTTATTAGTAGTCTTAGTAAGGATTGCTTGCCTAGTAGGACTTTTATTTTCACAAGTATGTAACCTCTATTTAAAGAGGCTTATTATCATCAATAAAATTCAAGTCAGAATTTTAAGAAAAGAGAAACCTTAAGAGGTCTAAGATTCCCTCTAAACAAGCATAAGTATGGAACTATCAATTGAAACACGCGATCATAACAATTTGGTACAATTGTAACATTGGGACAGGAAGCAAGGCAAAATATTTTATGCTAAATGCTAACGAGTACTTTTTAAAACACTTGTGGTTCTTAGAGCTGGAACCATTTTTCTGGGACTTGAGTATTGCAAGAATGTACATGGATTCTTTTTGTTGCATTATGCAGTTATAAATTTTGTGAATTTTCTGCAATTTCTATTTTTTTAATGAATTTGAAAATCTAAATGTATATACCTATAAATCAATTTTTAGAAGGAATGGTCGAAGAATGATGCTTATCTTTTGTATATTCTATGGTTGTAATTTATAAACTTCAAAAGTTAAACTGATGCGCTCTAATTTCCGTTTATTGTAGTGCAGTTGTCCTGTTATTCTTACATTTACATTTCCATTTGATAGTTAAGCCCGGTCGATTTACTTAATTCAAGGGATAAATTTCGTCAAGCACCTCCCCTAGATCTTCCACAGGTTAAGCATGGAGAAGTTGAAGCATATTTTGCAGTTCTTATTACACTTTACCACATTCGGAAGCTTCTTTCAAGCCATGGAATAAGACCAGCATATGAGATGCTGGAGGAAAAGTTGCGACAAGGGTATGTGTTAGAATCACTTCCGTTTTAGCAATATGAAGAATTAGACTGCATATTTTTCTCTCAAGAGAACAATATTGAACTCTTTATACTATATTCTATTTAGTAAAAGGCTTCTGAGGTTAGGAAAAACTAGTATTCAGTACCAAACAAGTGTCATTTTTCCTTTTTGAAACAAAAATTGCTTTCTGATCAGAGTTTATGTCGGTAACCTTTTTTCAGATAACTACAGGTATGTATGAGTTGCTCGCAGATAATATGAACAATATTTTAAGTTTAACATTTAGTGTTTATTTTTATTTATTCTTATAAATTTAAAGGTCAAAGTCGTTGTTATCCAATGGTAGATAGCAGAAATCTAATTGTGATTTGTTATAGATTTCTGCTAATTGTTGTTGGGGTTGAACCATGGAGGCACAGATGTGAAGATGCAAACAAACAAGCACAAGCACATTAATATGATTGAATCTACTTTATGTTCACTGGTTTTTATTGTTAATCAGAATGTGTTCAAAATTTTATTAATATGTTCAGAATTGATTGTTGCAGGCCTTTCTCAAGATCAATGAGTAGAAATGAAGATATAATGAATGCAAAGCTTTTAATGCAACGGAGTTTGTCTCATGGTGCACCCAGTCCAAAATTGTCAAAACTGTTAGAAGTATTGATTAACCATTTCCGTATGTCATCTGCTATTTAAATTGTGTCCTGCATGTGGTGATTTTCATTTGCCTATCCTTTCCTGAATATTGTAGCGACTGAGACTAGCATATTTCTTAGGGATTCTTGAAACGAGAGTTTCGAATAACTGATAAATTGGAGTCCTTTTATGTATAGAGTTTTGCTACTGCTTATGACAGAATGAAGCTTTGTGAACAAATTGTAGTTTGTTGTGAGTTGTGACTTTAGACTTGTAAGATTTTCTATACTTGTCAAATTGATGATTGTTGCTCAAGCTTTGGCTCTCTTTGATACTTGATGGTTCGCATAAATATTTTTTGTTATATCAACTCTGTGATAGGACATGAGTAGAAAAGGAAATTAAAGGTTGACGTAGGTTAGTCATTAGAAGGTTGCCTACTTTTATGTTTATTGTTGGCTAGTAGATAGAAAAAAGTGTGACTGAATTGATATTACAGCTGAAAGAGTGTATTGGGATCCAAGGTTAAGTTTTCCAGAATTCTTTGACCTGCAGCAAACTACAAAGAATCTTTTGGGTGCTGTCCTTCTGGTACTAACAATTAATCAGGAACACCATAGCAAGAGACACAAGTCAATGGAGAGGAGCAAAAAAAAAATGCATCCATGCTTCCTGTCCATATGCCTAAATAGTCATTAATTTTCAGAAGAAGAAAAAAATCTAAGTAAACAAATATCCTAGAATGCTCGTAAACCTACAAAAGATGATTATCCTTGATTGGAAGCTAAGTGGCAGACAAGTGAATAACCATATTGGACTCAAAAACAAATTCAAAGTTCTAGAATAACCTAAACTTAACCCTATAACTTAGATGCAGAAACTAAATGTCTATTGGTAATACTGAAATTGCAGATAAGAAAGAAACAAAGTTTTGTCTTCCATGACTGCGGGAGAAACTATAAGCCATTAACCTTGTTATTTTGAAGGTCATATCTTGTATTGTTGCAGAGAGCATCTTCAAGCTTTAAGAAAATAGAATTATTAAGCACCTAGTTTAAAAAGTCCTTGGTTCTCAGTCTTGCTACAAGTTACTGGATCAACTTGTCATGATGAAGGGAAATCTAGCTCTTTTTGGTTGATTTTTCTTTCATGTAGCTTTATAATTAGATTGACCATTTGATATTAACCCTATTAGGAACTCCATAATGGTGAAAAATGTGCTAAAACATTCAGCCTCTTATAACCATCCCTTCTACTATATTGGTTAGGGTTTCTGAAGATTTTCATTTTTGTATATTTTTCTCTTTTGCATGCATATCATATTTATCACCGATATTTGGTCTATATAAAGTTTCTTCTGAATTCTGATTGAAGCCTTAATCATATATCTAGTACACAATTTAAATCCTCTCTCTCTATATATAAAATAATAATTTTATATGTTTTACTGTATATGATGCAGAAACAAGGGATCCACAAAACTCCAGGGTGATTATCTTCTCAAATTTTAGAGGAAGCGTTAGGTGGAAAACAATTTCTATATTCTTGTTTGTGTCACTTCCAAGGTCTAATATCTAACCATCTAACTAAAATTGTTTTCAGGGACATAATGAATGCACTAGAAAGTATTCGAGATTTAGTCAAAGCAACTGAATTTATTGGTCAAAGCTCAGGTTTTCTGTTCTGTTAGCCTTTTTCAATTTAATATGATTATCCATAAGAAACATTATTGTTGAAATATAAATTTTATATTTCTAGAATCATGTGAAGCATTTAGGACAAGATGCCAAAAAAATAAAATAAAAAAAATTATGTAATGTTTGAATCCATGTTAAATGATTTTTGTTACATTTAGATTTGTTTAAGCCTAATATTAACCTCATTCTCTCCACTTGCTGCAAATTGTTTTATGTTGGATGTTGTATTATGGTTATTATGGCCAAGATTATTTGTCCAATTAAGTATGCTCGTTTATAAGACACATTATTGTCCAAGTATAAATTTTACATTTCTATAATCATTTGAATCATTTAGTTGAAGATGCAAATTTTGTTAATGTAATGATTGAATCAATTTTAAATGGTATTGGTTAATTTGAGGTTCGTTTAAACCTAATATTCAAGTCATTCAGTGTTTATTGAATCAATGTCTAATATCTTCAAGTGTCCTATCGGTTCTATGTTGGACACCTAAAGATTTGCAGATGCTAACCATAGTCTCTTACAGGGAAAGCATTGAAAGGTCAATCTCAAAAAGTTCAACAGGCAGTTTTGGAGGTAAATATGTTATTTTTAGTAATTTTTTTCTATTTTTTCTTCTTGGGATTAATTGGTTTATCATTTTTTATGATAGAAATTTCGAGCTGGTGGCTACAATGTTATTGTTGCCACATCAATTGGTGAAGAAGGCTTGGATATCATGGAAGTTGATCTTGTAATATGTTTTGATGCAAATGTTTCACCTTTGAGAATGATACAACGGATGGGGAGAACTGGAAGGAAACATGATGGACGAGTTGATATCCTTTTGTTGTTTCATGGTGAATGTTAAAATATGGGTGGTTTACAAGTGTTGAGCAGTGTATCTTACATTTCTCTAGTGTTTTCCTATGGTCTTATATTGAAGTTAGGACCTTTCGCCTATTGCCAGTTGGTTTTAGGTTAGATTCTAACATGATATTAGAGCCTAGGTTTTGTTATGCTTAACATAACTCCTGGTGATATTGTTTATGTTTAGGCCCTTGAGTTATACCTCTAGGGGAGTGTTGAGTGGTGTTATTCCACATCTTATAAGTATTGACTTTTCTGTGGTCTTATATTAAAGTTGAGCCCTTTCACCTACTACCAATTGATTTTGGGTTGGATTTTTAGCATGGTATCAGAGTCCAAGTTCTATTACATTGTTCTTCTTGCCTAATCCTATAGTGAGGTTGACAACTGCTGGAGAGGTTCTCTCACGTGTAGGTCCTGTGAGCTAAACGCGAGGAGAAGTGCTTAGTGGTGTTATTTTACATCTCTTAAATATGGAATTTACTGTGGTTTCATATTAATGTTGTGCCCAACTCCTATTGCCAATTGGTTTTAGGACAGACACCTAACAGTGAATTTTGTATTTGCATGGTGCAGCCAAAATTTATCTTTCGGTTTTGTGATTTTATGGCTCTAACCCTACACCCAACGCTTGTGTCCGCAAAACGAGAATTTGAATGCTTATAATTCCAGTGTTTCCTTACAAATCATACTAGTTCTAGCCTGTCAAGGGTCAGAGTTAAAAGGTTATATGCGAAAGCAAGCCAACAGCCGGTCTATAAATAAGCATATGCAAAATGGTGGAATACATAGCTTCAGTTTCCATCCCAGTCCTAGAATGGTGAGATCTATCTAGCTGGCCATGTTTTCTTATTGCTCCGACTGCTTATCTTATGCCCCGCTTACCTTCCATCTCTAGATTCCTCACATTTTCAAACCAGAAGTCCAGTTTGTAGAGCTCTCAATTGACCAATTTGTTCCTCGCGGAAAGAAACTGAAGGATGATCATGCTATTGAGACACCTCATTTTAGGGAAAAGCTAACTGCTGAGGAGACTGATTTGATTGCCAAGTATTTCCATCCTACCAGTGAGAGCACATGGAGACCTTCACTCATTGCCTTCCCTAGCTTCCAAGCATTTCCCTCCAAAGTTTGTAAAGTAGTGCATTCTTATAGAACAGAGATGCTGATAGATTCCATGCAACATTTGCAGGGCTTAACCTTTCCAGGAGGCAATGAGAATTTCTTTGTTGAGGTTGACGCTTGAACTTGTTCTCGAATTGTTTTCATTGTAATATAACTTCAAATTTTCTTATATGTTTATCTGATGGATTCAGAATGAAGTCTCTTCAGTTGATTGCTCTGTAGCTGGTATTGTTGAACAAAATGACAGTTATAGCAAAGGTAATATCTTTAGCGGTTGAAAGGTTTTCTTGCAAGGTTTTTCTGTTAGAACTTAGACGTATTATGTGGGCAGATAAGTAATTTTAGATAAAAATGTTTATATGTTTTCAAGAAGCCTACTTTTGATGTGGGAAGCATTCTTGCTCTTTTTTTCTTTTTCTCCTTTCTAGAGGGAAAGTGATGAAACTGTGGCGTAAATTCAATATTTTGTTCTCTACTTTTTTTTTGGAATAATAAAAAGTTCAGCAAAAGTTGTGGACACAACTCAGTCAGTCAATAAATATCCCCCCTCCCCCAGAAAATAAATTTGGGCTTGCTTATGATGAAACCCTTTTACATGTAAAGGTCATAAATGACAAATCAAGGTTAAAACAGTCTTCCTCTTTCTTCTTCTATTTTATTCTATGGTTAAAACATCCAGATATTAATGGATTGTGTTTCTAACCAATTATCTGCATTTGATAACTTCTTGGTTAATATCAATAAAACTTTTCCTTTTGCCTTATATCTGTTTCTTGTCTGTTCTTATCTACTTATATAAAAGCTACAACAGTTACCTAATTGGCTAAAGTCTTATGGTTAACCATTATTCCAGATTTTCTAGTTGTGGATGATTTTCCAGCTGCCAATTCTCAGTTAGGAGTAATAGATTCTCCAGAACCTCATTTGAGAACTTTAAGAACTAAGGAGAATCATGACAGGCCAGATTCTGGATGCAGAAGTCCCAAATCGCATTTGTGCCTATTTGGTTCTGATTTTGTATCTGTTAGTGCTCTTGGAAAGGTCCTAATTGTATCTGTTCCTTCACTTTGTTCCGAAGATGTAACACATTCTAAGCGTGCAAATACAATTACAGAAGAGTTGCAAAATACTTGCAAGCAAGATATTAACTGTGTGAAGACTTCAGATGAAATTATGCAAACTGAAGCTGTTCTAAACATTGCTAATCAGAAAAAAAGTTTAGAAGATGATACTTTATCAACACCTGGATTTTGTGAAAGTGATTCTGAGAAAGAGAAAATGCTAAATGGAGTAGAAAAAATTCCTGAGACTCCAGATGGCACTTGTGAAATGGCTGATGAAGCTAACATTGATATCAGAGATACTGAACTTAGCCCCCGTCTAACCAATTTTATCGAAACAGGCGTTGTTCCAGAGTCTCCCATAACTGATAGAGGTCTGTAGTTATCCTCTTACAGTTTAATATGTTGTTGAGTTTGTAGAGAAAGAGTAACTAATTCTAGCTTGATAAACATGGATTTTGCAGGCTTTTAGAGCAGGAAACAAGAATTGAGCCCTTTATTCCGGACAAAGCATCACCTCCCGAGTTGCACACTGAACTGCTTTTGAGATCTTCAAGTCCAATGAAAAATGATAGGGGCAATATGGAAAGTAGCCCCTATGGAAGTAAAGTCCCAGTAATGAAAGATGAAATGATGTCTTTACTTAGTGTAAAGCTTCTAGAGCAGGAAACAAGAAATGAGTCCTTTATTCCGGACAAAGCATCACCTCCCAAGTGGCACACTGAAATGCTTTTGAGATCTTCAAGTCCAATGAAAAATGATAAGTGCAATTTGGAAAGTAGCCCCTATGGAAGTAAAGTCCCAGTCATGAAAGATGAAATGATGTCTTTACTTAGGATAACCCCTGTTTCTCCACTTGTGGAAATGAAAAGTCCCTTGGCAAACCTTACAAACAGTAGCGGTAGTAAAAGTTGGCACTTAAGCTCTGGAGAAAAAACAGAGACAGTTGAGCATGCACGGGTGTTTAAAAGGTTGCGCAAAGTTGTAGATTGTGGAAAAGATAGGAGCTCAAAAAGCTTGAAGGAAAGTTCTTGTGTCTCTCCAGCAAACTGTGCCATATCTTCTTCTCGTGCCAATCCTATTCAAGCAAAGTCTGGTAGGGGTAAAACCTATGTATACATGACATTGTTGTTGTTTCCAGTGCCGGGATTTTTCAGTTTGACTTCTACCTTTACCCAGATTGAATACTTTTGTCTTACGCTTTGATGAATTTGAAGCCTTATTGCTGTTAGAGCATTGCAAAGTTAACAATGTAAAGAAAAAAAGTTGTATACAGGTTGTTGATCAGGCTGTTATGTATTGTTGTTTTCAGGTAAAAAGAAGCCAGGGAATGATGTCAGAACTTTCATTGACGAGGAAGCTGAGTAAGTGAATTGCTCCACTTTTATTTTTCAGGGAAAAAAAAAGGAAATACTCGCCTAATTATTGACCCACCAAAGGAAATGCTTTCATCCATTAGTTTGTTCTTTCACATAATTATATTGCGAAATGTCCAATAGATAAAAAATGGATATTAAATTTCCATACGGAAAGCTAGTTGAGTGTGCAGATATTTCTTCCAATATGGTTGTATAATTGGTGCTTCATATATTTATTAATCTTTGGCCCAGAGTGTCCACAGAAGCTGAAATCTCTCTTGAAGAAGAAGATGATGAGAGTGATTCGTATGATGACAGTTTCATAGATGACAGGATAAACCCAACTGCAGACAGTACCCAGATTGAATCTGCTGGTAGAGTTGACATGATAGCAATTTACAGGTTGCTCACAGTTTTCTTCTAGTTATTTCTGCCATCATCTTTAACTCCCCCATGAAATCACTAATATTCACATTTAGAAGTTTTTAAATATAATTAATGGTCGGATGAAAACCAAAATCTGCGAATTTCATAAATTTATTTGTGAAAATGGTTGGCTATATGAATTGAAAAAGATATAATAAAACTGGCATTATATCTGAAGAGATGTAGAAGTACCGCTAGGATTGTTTGAAGGCAACAGCAGGTTCAAGGTGATTATTCCCCCCCTGGGACAAATATAATGGTCGTCTTTCCTAGTTCTGCATGGTTAGCTAATTTTGCAATTGCGAATCCGGAATGTATTTTCACTGGTAATATCAATCTATCCATAAAAATTTCAAATACTTTCAAAGGTCATATATAATTTTTCTCTTGGTTCAATGCTTGGGTTTTTGCCAAGGTCAGGCTTTAATGAACTGTTTGCTTGTTATATAGGCGTTCTTTGCTAAGCCAGTCACCAATGGTGAGGCAACAAACTCCTGCTTTCAGTCCTGACTGTGTAGCTTCCACAAGCAAAGATCATGGCAGTGGTCATCCCTCGTACGAGACATTGTATTCTATACAGGCGCCTCAACCTGAGTCCGCAAATCAGCTGGCAACAAAGAATACAGAGGAGAGGATCTCCTTCATGTCCATGCCTTCCAGAACTTATGATTCTGCAATAGAAAATGAGAGTCAGCAAAGCAGAAAGCGAAAGCTGAGTTTCTTCCCATTGGAGTCTATCCCTGCAATCAACTTAGAGCAAAAATTCAAATCTGAGGCTGGAGGCAAAGAATTAAGCAGATCCTCTCAGCAGCCTCAAGTGAACAACGTCACCGGGAATGACAGTGACATTGATGATGATGATCAATTTTATGCAAGTCTAGATCTTGATGCGGTGGAGGCACAAGCTACCATGCTTCTGAAGAACAAGTCTGAGGCACCATTGGAGAAGCAAGTGATAAATGCACAACCGAATCCAAACCTGCAGAATGGTGGGGTTCAAGCTCCTCCATCATTTGATCTAGGGATATGGTAATTGAGGCAGAATATTTCGACAAGTTCTTTTGTATGACTAATAATATATCATATGGATCAGGAATGGTATTGGAAACTGAGGAGGAATGCTTATGGTAAGTGTAAACAGTGTAACCTTTTGTATTATAGTTTGTACAGGTTGTTCATGCAGAGAGGAATGTATTTATCATGTATAGATGATATTTCCCTTGTATCAAATTCTTAGAACAAAGGATAACATATATTTTTCTTCTTGCAAATACAGTTATAACTTTATTATCATAAGATCTTAACCTGGAATCTGTTCTGTTCTTCGACCAGTGTTTGTGTTTGCGAGTGTGCATGCCCGCACGCGTGTACATACATGACTCCTTCGAATATGATGTAAAAGGGTTTAAGAAAATTAACCCATTTTACATGCAAAGTGAAATGTATTTCAAGAATTAGTTTCAAGATTTTTTTTTCAATAAAAATAATTAATTTTATTATAAAATATCTAGAAATACATTGAATGTTGCAATAATAATAAACTAAATACATAATTAAATATTTTTTATTCACATAAGAGACTAAGCATTTGAGACCATACAAAGAAAAAGTGAAAAATTCACCTAAAAAAACAAAAGATAAATATGAATAGATATGAATGTATATACAAATGACTCAAGACGAGATCTAACTATTGAAATATCACTGACGAATGCAAATTAGAGTCAAGTATTGTGAAAAAAATATATACAAACGTAAATTGTATATTCAAATCTAAGTAGATGGTCTAAAACAGGGAAACTAATAACAAATAAACGTCATTTTGGTATGTTGTAATGCCGTCAAATCCAATCCTAAGAAAAATAAATTAAATAACTGATAAAGATAATCGAAAACATATAAAAAAACGTATCAAAAAATAAAAAACGTATCATAAATACAAAAATATTAAAAAATTAAAATAACAAATGTGAGAAAAAAAATAATGATCGATCGTTAGTGAACATCAAAATTGATGCAATTGTGTAGAAATTGAGAGTGAAAAAAAAATAAACAAGCAACGTTAAGTTATTTTTGAGAGCAAGCGACGCAGCAGAAGTAAATAATATATTTTGAACTGCAAAGAGTTAATATCAAGTTAAGCGATGATTATTATATAATTGTTTTGGAAATGAGTTGAGAAAAATGCGTATCTAGTGAACCTGTGTTGTGCAGAATAAAGGGCATCCACTTATATTTCACGTACTCCCATGTTAATAAATAATATATAGATTTAGTAAAGACAATAAACACGTTTATATTTGATGACTGGAAGTTGGCATTTATTAAATCCACCGCCAATTCCATTCAATTACCATAATATAAAAGGCCAGAGTGGAATCTCATTCCCTACCATGAGCACATCAGACGACATGAAATGAGTGAGGTATCTTTCTCCCTAACCACCTTTAATTTAACTTCTGTTTAATAATTTAACTCCATAATATATTATAAATAATAATAGAGATGGAAGATTAGGTTATTTACGGCGAGAGTAGCAAGATTTTATATTAAGGAATAAAACTTATACAATTTTAAGAGATAAAAACATATTATTAATAAAAATATTAAAAAATATATCAAAATTGTATTATAATTTAAAATTTATAAGAAAACGACTACCACATCAGTCTCCTTTAATCCATATGTGATTATATACCTACTTACCCAACTTCTCACATTCCCACATGTGATTGCATTGCCAATTGCCATTGACTTCCTATTCATTACCCTTGGTTATATACTTGTATATGTGTGTATGTTGTACTCTTTAACAATTTTATAACCCTTCATTCATACACACTAATTTCTTACATACATATGATGGTGAATTATTTTGTTCGTAATTAAATAATATGGATATATTCTTCAGTGTCCCATTAATACATGCATGCATTGCGTTTGCCTAACTTTTATTGCTGGGACTGATCGAAATGGAATGCAGATATGGTTTTAGAATACTTAACCTCATTAATTATCTTCATAATACCAATTCTTGCTTGATTCCATTACTCTCGATCTCATTATTACACTCTCTTATTGTGTTTATCTAAATGATACTCCCATTTAGGAAACGATTCTCTTATGTGGTGACCTTTCATTTCTACCTAATTGCTCTGTCCCACTTATTTATTTATTCATTAAAAATCAAAACTAATATTTTTACTATTAAATGTATTAACATTAAAAGAAAGACAAAAAAGCGAGTTAACAAAATTTGGTGTTCCCAACGGAAGGAATGGTGGTTGTTCTCCAGCCAAACCTTAATGAAAAAGATTGATTTGTTTCCTTCTCCGCTACTGTATAACACATACATATATACATGTAGCATTTGCTTAAAAGTTTTTTAAGCTATCGACAATATGTGTACACCTTGAAGACGTAATTGCTCGAATTCAATATTACTAAAGAGAATAATATTCCATTATACTATTATGATCACTTGATAAATTCATGTTATATAGTTGTTTCAGTAATTTAGTATCGGATATGAAAATATATATATATATTATGATGCTAGTGGGTTTAAACATGCATGCCAGCCCTAAACAAACTGATTTATCACCATCTCTTTCACACGCTTCCATTGCATGTTGATATCAATACCTACCTTTTTATTAATATTTAAGGATTAAATTATAAAATTTAATGACTAAATCTTATTTTATTAATTTTTAATCTTTGTTTATGTGAATTTTTTTTTTAAAGAAGAACGTTTCCTCTATTTGGTTCAAAAAGTTTTGAAAAATTTATCTTTTAAAAAAAGATAAATTTTTCCTTTGTATAACAACAGCCATTACGTAACGCTCGAGTGCGAATCCAAAACTTTGTTCTGTAATACGAAGATAGTAATTCGAAGACCTTACAACTTAAAATTTTAACATTTTTATGATTTCTTGCAACGGGGATTGCATGTTTCTGGCATCTTCTTTTAAGTAATAAACAAATCAAATGATTTGAATAACATCTACAGAGAGCATAAGCTAATGGTTTTTGTAGTCTTGTTTACAACTAGCTTTGATTACAGAAAACATGCAAAAAGATGGTAATGTAATTAGTTAAGCGATTATCTCAAATTAACTTCCAAAAGTGAAAGAAAAATGACCCTATGAATCCCAAGGTCTACAATATGTATAGAATCCATTTGAATTTTGACAGTTGCTACAAATTTCACCTGTTCCAAACCCTAATTGCCAACACAAACATACTGCCGTGGCCACCATAGCTTGTTCAAGCAACTGGAAATTGTTGTTTTCTAGCTTTGGTTTCGACTCGGCCGAGTTGGCTCTTGGAACCCGAGATGAGTCGGCTGAATGGATCCCAATCGAAAGCTCCAAATTTAACTCTTGCCCATTACTTGGTTGATCATATTCCTTCTTCTTCTTCTTCTGTAGCTGTTGTTGCTGTTCATCTGTAGTCATGCCACTGCTGGCGGTACAATTGTGCTCTTCAATGGAACCAACGTTGGGCTTGAATTGGAATTCATTGTATCTGAAATCCAGATAGAAACTGGGTTTGGAAGCTGATTTAGGTGCGTTTATGAAATCTAGTTCCTTAGGGGTGTAACCGTGTTGGTTGTTGTATATGCAGCGGTTTCGTTCAAAGGACGATGAGTTTGCGGATCGATTCCTCTGCTTATGATCTTTCTTTTGAATTGTGTGTTCCAGTAGTTCTTTATCTCATTATCTGTTCTTCCTGGTAATCTTCCAGCAATTAGAGACCATCTGCAAATACATTCGAACAACATTAATTTTTTTTTATCAAATTTGAGGAAATTGAAAGAGAGAGAGGAGAAAAAGGAAGTCACTTGTTTCCAAGTAGACTGTGAAGCTTGATGATGAGGTCGTCGTCTTCTTGAGTGAAATTCCCTCTCTTGAGATCAGGCCTCAAGTAATTTATCCATCTTAATCTGCAACTTTTACCGCATCTAAGCAGCCCTGCAACAAGAAGCATAATTGAAGAAACCGAATTGGCAAGGTAGAAAGAAATAATAAAAAAATGGTAAATGGAGAATGGAGTAACCGGCAGCTTTGGGGAGGGAACTCCAGCAGCCTTGGCCATGGAGACGGATGTAATGGATGAGGCGTTGATCCTCGTCCTTGGTCCAGGCACCTTTTTTGGTATGAACCTTTTCACAACAAGGTGATCGTCCCATGAAATCAGAATCACTTATAGAATGAAAAATTATGTAATTAGGCAAATAGGGAAACTAGTGATTGTAGGAAAATGGATAAAGCTGTGTGTAATAATAGAGAAAGGGAGCAATAGATTTGACCGAGTTGTTGGAGATAGATATGGTAGGTAGCTCTACTTTTACGTCATATTCATGGGTTTTAGCCCGGCTACCTTTCCTCCCTTTGTTTCGTTTCATGTAAGGATAGGGTTGTCCGACCCAAAAATTTTACATACTTCTATCATATTTGAATCGACTCAAAAATATATACTTTCTATTTGATTTGAATTTGATCATTTAAATTTGATTTGATCCCACCCAAAATAATAAGAATATTATTTTATTCAATAAAATTAATTATTTAATTAAAAAAAATAATATATAAAGGGGTATTATTGTAATTATTCATAAATATATAAGGTAACATTATATTTTTCCCGAGTTAGGTCGGGTAGGGTATTTTTCACTTTAAACTCGAATCTGACCTGACCCGAATATCACTTTTTAAAAAAGGTAAACAACTCCAATGGTCACTAATATTTGGGTAAGTTTTTCGTTTTCACCACTGATATTTCAAAAGTCACAAATAGATCACTAACATTATCGTTTGTTACAAATTGGTCACTCGCCGTTAACATGCATGAAGGAAAACACACGTGGACCGTTAACAGGCTTACCTAGATGTTATAATTACACAAATAGTCCATATTATTTATATATTATTTTAATTTGATCATAGTTTTAATAAATTAAAATAAATTTACCTACGAATCAGGTGCCATGTGTCATTGGTTACATACATGTGACAACACATGTCATCATTTGATTGTAATACTAAATTTATTTTAATTTATTTTTAATTTAATAGATTTATTTATACACGTGTCACCTTCTGGTTGATAGAAAATAAAGCAACAAAGAAGCAAGTAAGAGGATTCGAACATATAACTATTTTGGACAACAAATAATATATATATTGTATCTTAATATGTAAATGTT